CACTCAGCTGTGGGAACGCAGAACCTGCACACACAAAGAGGCAGTCTTTCAGGGGGGACACTGAAACAGGACAAGGGGGCACTGCATGATCTAAAATCAGAAAAGGTGTGTGTCAAAGTTGTATTCTTTCACCACACTTACTCAATTTGTATGCTGAACAAATAATAAAAGAAGGGAGCTTGTATGAAGAAGAATGCAGCATCGGGATTGGAGGGAGACTCGTGAATAAGTTGTTGCCTCCTATTGAACAAGTATGGATGTAAGTGTGAAGGCTTTCCCACGTTGGCTGCACACACTGGTTTTCTTCTAATCGGAAGTCTTTGGTGTAGAACAAATACACATTTGAGCATGAAGGCTTTCCCACACTCACTGCACAGATAGGCTCTTCTCCAGTGTGAACTTTCCTGATGCTGAATGAAGCTAGAATCTTAACTAGAGAACTGTCTACACCCGCTGCATATGAAAAGCCTTGCCCCTCCGTGGACTGTCCAGCTTTTAGTAAGGATGAAGCTTTAGCCAGCGTCCCACATTCACTGCGCTCATAAAGCCTGGTATCAGAGTGGCTTCTCTGGTGCTGTTTCAGATTAAATCTTTGGCTGTGTATTTCCAGCTGAAGATTTCCCCACCTTTGCTGCATTTCTAATACCTTTATCTAGTGCAAAAGACTTGCCCACCTCCAAAGCCCCGGGGCAGCTTCCCCTCACCTGTGAGTGGCCTCGTGCTCACGCAGCTCAGGGCTGATTGGGAAGTCCTTCCCATCGTCCCTGCACAAGAATGGCTTGGCTTCCATGACATGAGGCCTCCACAGCCCTTCACACACAGGGACCGTTCCCCTCACACCGTGGCCCCTGGCAGTGGTTGACACTGATGCTAAAATCTCTCCCATGTCCCCCACATGCATACACCTGCTGCCTGGGGCATGCTCCCAGGCACTCAGGCCAGGGATGGAGTCATCAGGTAAGAGCGGACCACATATGTCACGCACCTGGGATTCTTGATGTGACCCTGGCTCAGGCGTGCCTTCTTCTCATTCCACATCAATGTAGGGAAGCTGAAAGGGCCAAGCCCTCCAGCATCGTGACCCAGCTACCCCTGCCCCACCCCTAACAGCTCATCAAGGAGCTCCCCCTCCTCACGTTGAGTACAAGGACACACCCTCAGAGGTCACGTGGCCGTGTGCAGTCCATGCACACTTCTGCCGGGAACCCTCTCAAGCCAGCTCCCACTGAGCACGTGACTGGGTGATGTAGGCACCAAGGGCAGATAAAATGCCCCCTGGCAAGGGCACTGGAAGTCTCATCCGGATGTGGCCCACAGGCATGGAAGCACCCCACCCCCACCCAGGCCTTCACTGGCCCAGCACCATCCGGCACAGACTCACGGCCTACGGGATCACACAGGGCACTGCAAAATGGTGTGTCCCATGGCCAGGCATGACTTCCTCTGGCAGATGAGCCACGAGTCTCAGAATCTGCAGTCCAATCGGCCACCTCCTGTCGACTCAAAGGCAAGTCCCTCCTGCTTTGATGGCACAGTTCCTGAGAACTGCTCGTTTCTCCAGCGCTTCACACCTGCTTGTCTCACCGTCGTCTGGCACCGCATGTGTAGAAATGCTCCCTGTGACTCCATCTCTGTGTCTGTCTTGATCTGTCCAGCTTGGAGGTTTATCAATGTTCTTTAGAAAGATCCAATGTTGGCTTTGCCACTGCCCTTACCGTGCGTGAGCCCTTTATGCTGTGGGCCTGGACGAGCAGCTAACGTCAGGAACCCATTCGTGAGAATCAGATGCTATGTGTGAACAGCTGGCCAGGAGTGGACATCCCAACTTGGGTGAAGTGTGGTCTTAACTCCAAGCTCCCAGTTTTCTAAACTATACGGCACAGTAGGAGATTTACTGAAATGCACTCACACAGAGACCAAACTGTATTAGGAAAGGGAAGTGATACTTGGATCAGCTAGTGGTGTAGCTAAATTGCCAATCTTTATATTTTCATTAGTAACAGTTCTGCTTTTTGCATCTTATTAATTTCTGCCTTTATCTTCATCATTTTCTTCCTTAATCTTATTTTCCTAGGCTTTTTAAAATTGAGACTTTCTTTTTATTGATCTACTTGAATCTGAATTTCTCTCTACTGCTTTAACTGGAATCACCCAAATGGAGGGTTTCCATAATTATCGTTTAAAATAAATTCTCTTGATGGTAACTTGTAATTCCCCTTTCACCCAAGTGTTGCCGAACAGATTTCCTTTCATTACCAGATACAGGGTGTCAGTTTCTTCTGTACTTTCTTTCTAACAGGTCAGGTCTCCCAGTCCTGCTGCACGGTTGCCAGTGTGTTTACTGGGGTATTTTATCTCCGCAGTGTGTGCTCACGTCATTTCCAGTTTTAGGCAATCTCCAGCGGTCTCCCTTGTGAAGAAATAAGGATTACTTGGCTTTTGCTAGTACGTGCGTGTGCACACACACACAGAAGCACATCAAAGGGGGGGGTGCATTAGAGCTGATTGTGATGATGTAGATGCAACTCTATAAAAGCGATTACACTGTGAGTGTATGAGGGGAACTCTGTATCAAGAAAACTACTAAAAAAAACTTGACCAATGGTTACCATGGGCGAAGGAGGGAGAGTTGTTGCTTAGGGGGCACTGTTTATGTTACCGGTGGTGGAGCAGTTTGGACTGGATGCCAAAAATGGCTGCACAATGCAGCATGGATGATCCTTGGCACACAACTATGCATGTAAAAGCTGCTGAATTGGAGAATGTTTTGTTGTATGTTTGTCACAATTATAAACAATAATTACATGACTAAAACACACACACACATCTACACTTTCCCATTGCCTAAGTGTGTGAACCTAATAGAGTGAATACGCAGTGTTTCCATAATTCAAACAGAAAATAAAATGTTGCTAGCAACTCCAATTCAGAGCGACTGTATCGCAGGGCGCAGCTGTGCTCGTAAGCATTTTCAGGGGCTGGCTTTCCCGTAGGACGGTGCCAGGCCTCTCTTCAGAGGAGCCTCCAGGTGAACAAGCTTCTGGTTAACAGCCAAGCTTACCTGTGGGTCTGTAAGCCCACTGCCATCAAGTAATCGCAACACATAGCGACACCAGCCGGAGCTCCTCCCCAGCGGCCTTTGGGGAGCGGCCCGCACCCACGCTACAGCACTGTCACCCAGGGGCCATGCCCAGGGGATGGGGCTTTCTCCCTCCTGCCCTACTTTTGGTTTCCTTGGAATTTTGTTTTCCACGCACTTCTAAATCACTCAGTCCCTACCCCTAGCCGGAGATCCTTGTCAACAGTCAGATGTAATGGGTGTTCTAAGACACGTTCTGACTTCTGACTGCTCAGGGGAAGCGCAGGGCAGCTCGCAGGGCAGCCGCCGCAGTGTGAAGTCAACACAGGGAAGGCCTTCCTTCCAGCCGCGGAAGTCAGCCGCCGCTCGGAAACGCAGCGCGGAGCCTGTTCGCTTCTGTAGAGATCCCCACCCACCACCACCTCTACAGCCCAGTTCTGCGATGTCCTGCAGGGTTGCTTTGAGTTAGAATCATCTGGACAGTGGTGGGCTTCCTATCTCTGATCCAAACCGGCTGCTTTACAGCCGCCATCCTGCTCCTGGCCAGTCATCTGCCTCTTCCTGCAGGGTCCCTCACGTCCTGCCTGTGTGCGCAGGGGGACTGACTGCTTCTCCAGCGGGGGGGGGGAGGAACAGTGTGGGCAAGTTCAGGTGTCAGCTACAGAGACATGCCAGGGACATGCTTAGAGATAAATATGTTCCTTTATTTATTTCGATCACTCCTGGGTTCATCTCAAACCTTTACAAAGAGCAGGGGGCATCCCATAGAGCAGTGCAGGGACGACGTCACATTGCTTCAAAGCCATAAGTTTCAAACACTTCAGGGACACACGCTCTTCAACCTGAAGCCCCACTAAGTAAACAGGACAGCTCGGTCATGTCCCCCCACCCCCAGCAGCATCTGGGCACCCAAAGGAACGTTTGACAGGGGTCCTCACCCGTGATGAAGTTTGCGGTATGCAAAGCAAGCTCTCACGTGAGCAGGGATCGGCCCACTAGCTCGTACAGTACGCAAAAATAAGGCCAGTGTGGAACTGAAGAGGGTAAATTAAGCAAGTGTCCAGCCACACCGGGCACCCGGGGAGGGCAGGACCTGAGTGGGCAGTAGCACAGGTCAGGCCACGAGGGCTGCAATTGGCACCCGGAGCAGTCAGCCTGGACACGCCCACGCGGTGGCGTGGGGCAGGGCTGCGGGACAGTGGGAGCAAACACGTGCGCAGAGGCCAACGGGCCCACACTGAGCAGCAATCCCACTGCGAGGACAGCGAGTAGCCACCACCACCACCCCCTCTCTCTGCGGAGGATGCGAGGCTACCGCACACCTGTGCAGGTCGGAGTCCGAATTCTTCCCACCCGCCCAGGGCTTGCCCCGCCAGTCGTGGGACGGGGGTGGGGAGGAGTGGCGGGAGGGTCTTCGAGGGAAAGGGGAGGACAATGACACCCCGGCCTGGTCACCGAGTGGCGCCCCAGACTCTGAGAGAGGTCCCTGGTGGACCCAGGGGCCTGTGCCGCCCGCTGGGCAGCAATGCCGGAGGGTTTCTCTCCAGCAAACAGACCACCCTCCATCTAGACCCAGGCCGCCCACACCGCGCACTCTGCTCTGCCCAATGAGCATCATTAGCACCCACCACGCCCACCCAGAGTCGCCTCCTGTCACCTCCATTACACAGCCACAGACGTCTTACCGCCACTGCCCAGGCCGCCTTGTCTCCGTGCGCCTCTCCAGGGCAAAACGCCACTGCCCTGTTGCATGGCTTGGGCTCGGTGCCCCTCAGGGTGTGCAGTGCACCCCTAGG